TTTTTTTCAATTTCATAAAAATTCACATACATGTAAAGAATAATGAAAATAGGCCTTATGATATGAACTGCAGGGAACGAAGGAAAATTTTGGTTTGTTGATTTAAAACTATCATAAAAAGTATCATGGCGTGTAAGACCGATATGGATAATACCGTTAACGAACGTCGTTTACGTCCGATATACGGTAAGTATACTATTGGCATTTACATCAATGACAAAAAGTTTACATTTTTTAAGTTTCATAAGAATATGTTTCTAGTACTTAACTGGTAATGAGGTTATGTAACATTATTGTATTATGCTTTTAGATTGGTTGGATAATGGAAATAATAAGAAAGCCCTTCAAGAAGCAGATAAGGTACTTAAAAAGCAACCAAGTAATCAATGTGCTAGAGTACTCAAAGCTTTGGCTTTACTACGACTTGGTAAAGAAAATGAATGTCAAGTTATTATGGATAAAGTACGTTCTGAAGTTCCTTGTGAGGATTCTACTCTACAGGTCATGAGTATTTGTTATAGAGAAAGACATCAACGTAAGTTAACGTTATATTCTTTAATCTTTTATATTTAGATTGGTTGTAAAATTTAAATACTGTTAATTATCATAAGTAATAAATTATGGCTTTGAATTTATTAATAGCGGACAAAATTAGTGAAGTTTATGAAGCAGCAGCAAAAGTAGATCCTAATAATGAAGAATTATTAATTCATCTTTTTATGTCTTATGTTCGTCTTGGAGATTATAAAAAACAACAAAACACAGCACTTGCCTTATATAAACTGAAACCAAAAAACCCCTATTATTTTTGGGCTGTGATGAGTGTAGTTATGCAAGCTATACATGCAGATGAAAAATTAGCAAAAGGAGTTGCTTTACCATTAGCAGAAAGAATGGTTTGTAAATTGTAACAAAATTATAATAGTATAATGAGGAAGGAATTATTCTATTTAAAGTTGATTTAAGTTAACATTATATAAATAAAAATTAGGTATTGAAGTTAATTAAAGAGGGAAAAATGAAAGCAGGACAAGAAGTACAACTTTACTTAATGATATTAGAGCTTCAAGGTAAAAATGAAGAAATGTTAAATGTTTTATCTGGACATTTAGCTTCATATCTTTCCTCTGCTGCACAACGTAAGGCAGCACTTTTACTAAAATTGGAACACTTTCCTGAAGCAGTTAATGCATATATAGAATTAATTAATGAAAAGTGAGTATGATATAGTGTATGAACTTGCAATAATATTAAGTTATAATATTCCTGTTTTATATTTTTTTATATTGTGTGTAGTTTTGACAATTGGGCATATTATCAAGAATATCTTCTAGCAGCTCTTAAGTTTCAAAAACCAATAGAATGTTCAAATTTCCTTAATAAGTGTATAATTGCATCAGGAAAAAAAGTTAGAGCTCCTTATCTTGCAAAGTTTGAATTATTAAAGCTTACTAAAAGTGGAGAAGTCATTGAAAATGTCATTGAACCAGTTGACCTAATGTATCAGTATTTCTCACAGTTTGGAGAAAAAGGCTGTGTAGTTGGAGATTTACGTCTTTACATACATTTATTAACATCTGCAGGCAAACTACAGTTGCTTCAGAAAGTAAGCAATGAAATAGTAGAATATGTTATTAAATAAAAGTAGCAGACTTATTCATATATTTTGTTTGAAATATTTTTACTATTTTAGATAGAGGAAGATGTAGGTGTTAAAGCTGAAGGATTTCCAACTACTGTACAACAAATACAGAGACATATTCACTTAGAGCAATTACGTCGTATTTGTGGTTTTCATCATTCCCCCAATGCTGATATAAATAAGCAGAAACAATTGGTAGAACGGTTATGTAAATTGTATGAAAAGGGTAATGAATTATGTCCAGTTCAAGACAGATTACCAACAGATTATTGTCCTGCGGATTCGTATATCCTTTTAGCAACGCATTTATTGCATGAATTATGGTGCAATACAAATGATGCAGTTTATCTAGGGCAATGGAACTACTAGAACGTGGTTTATTATCAAGTCCTGCAAATTTTCATATAAAAATTTTATTAATACGAATATACTTGGAAGCAGGATTAGTAGGAGCAGCTGATCATATTTTTATGTTATTGGACGTTAAACATATTCAATTAGATTCATTGGGCTATTTACATGTACCATTACTTGCTCCACTTGGCCATCTTTCATTAGCTTCCATAACTTTAGATCATGCTACTAAATTTTTTATTGCATATTATAAAGATGTATGTATTTGCATATTATGAAATTGTCTTAATTAGCCAAAATTCTTTCTAATTTAATTGTTGTAATATGTGACTAGTGTGCAGATTATTTAACGTTTGCCTATAAATACGGAAGTTTTATAAAGATTCAAGAATTCGTTGAGTTAAAAGAACGTTTGGAAAATTCTTTTCACTTTGTTATGACTACTGTAGATAAGATGCTTCTGGAATTAGGTTGGTGCAGTAGTTCCACATCTTTGATTTCCACCTTAGATAATATGGATATACAATTAACGGAGGATTCAGTACGATTAAATTCTTTACGAGATAATCGTGATTTAGAGGTAATCCTATTTCCCAAATTTACTAGAAAATAAAATAAAAATTTAAAAGTATTAATATGGTTTTGTTTTTTGAGTAGGTTGTTCATGGATGGGAACCGCTTACTGAAAATGGAGAAGATCTTAGGATGCAAGAAGAAACACGCGTATGCATGTTAAGATTACTTGCAGTGAGAAATTTGATTTTAAAAATTTTAGCGGCGTGTGCAACATCTGATAGTTCCTCTCTTCTTTCCCGATTCTCTAATGAACTGAAGCAGTTAAATAATGAACAGATTCCTTTGATTCTTGGAAAATTTGATTCAGAGGGAAAGAAAAATAAACCTTGTAAAATGTTAGTTCCTATGGATGCAGTCGAAAGGTTACGCGAAGCTCATTATTCCGAGCAATTAAAAACGATTGCGCACCTCGCAGAATCGCTTGTTCAGTCGCGTTATCCTGATTTCGAATGTATTCAAATGTTGCGAGCGTCTCCATGCCTTCAGACAATAGATATCCCAGAAAAGAGAGTTCCAGTGTCTTTCAAGCATTTTTTATTAAGAGCATCCACATGTAGTGAGTCTCTTGCAATTATTAGTGCCATATGTACTCTGTGTGCGACACAATTACAACCTAAGACTTTACAAAAGAAAAACAAGAAGAAATGTAACAAGCAAATAACGTCTGTATCATCAAATGATAATGATCATGTAAGACAATTCAGTGGATGTATATTAATTTAAGATAGTTTTGTTTTAATTTAAAGAACGTTATGTTATTAATTTATTTGTTTTTATATTTCAGAATTGGAAAGAAGTTGCGGTATTGCTGGAAGAAAGGGTTCAAAATTTAGATACAGTACTAACAGAATTTGAAAAGTATCAGTTACACACAGGACTGAGCAATAAAGAAGATCATGTGTGTGCTACAATAATTAAATATGGACAAGACAGTCTAGGACAAAGTTGCAGATGGTTAAAATCTCGAGCTCAAATCACGCTAAAACTTCTAAGCAGTTTAAAAAGCTGAAATTGTACGAAAATTCTTGTACAAAGAATATCCATCCAATTATTTACTGATTTTTAAAACTGATTCATTTATTGTGTACATAATTCTTAGACCTAACCAATTATGACTGAATTGATTCTTGCAAATTGAATCTCCCATTGCCTTAATTTTATACTAAATTCATAACTTCTCAAATAATTTTTCATTTATATAACTTTCCTTTGATATGGTCATGCTGAAATAGAGCACACTGCCATTTTATGAGTTATTTAGAAAACATATTTTATTCATACAGTTTAGTTAAATCAAAATTCTACTCCCGATGTGTTTCTTATCTTGAAACAATTTTTCTATTTATTTACTACTAATTTTATCTATAATCATTTTAAAATTAAGGAGTAACATTCTTAATATTTTGAAAATTGCTGAAACTAAAATACAACGTTCATTTTTTTTTTAAATTTATTTTACGTCAATAGTGTGTATTTTCTTGAAAAGATTGTATAAATTATTCTATAAATAGAAAGTGTTATAATATTGAAAATTAATTTAAAATAAGAAACCTTTATTTTAAGTCTGTTTTTCTCGTACTTTATGTTAACATTTCTTATTTGTATTTCGTACATTGTACATGAATAAAATTATTTCTTATTAATTATATAATTTAAGTCATTAGTTGACTGATTTGTATGAAGTTAATAAATTTGGTAAATTTATATGAAATTAATTAGATAATGTAAATTAATTCGTCTAAACTTTTTTGTTCAATTAGTTATATATAATTTAAATTACTAATATTTGTTCAAAAATATCATACAAATTATTAAATTATACATTAAATTTCATGTATATATTAAACATAACATTTTTATATTTTATAAAATTATATTAGTATATTGCTACAAAAACTAATTATTAAAAACGTATATATAATGTTATTATTAAATAGAGCACCTTTTTTAAAGGTTGGCTTTTTCATATAGTTTTGTTCTCTTCTACTCAATTTATTATGTTGTGTCATTCGATAAATGCGTAATATGATACTTATGCATACATAGAAGAGAGTGTTAAGGTGCTTTTGTTCATAGGTTATATATAATATTTTTAATATTATATATATATATTTTTTTTTACACGCACATACACACATAGAGGGTGTTCCGGCAACAGTGGTACAACTGGGCAGGGGGTGATTCCTCGTAAAAAAAAAGGCTGATGTATAGTATCCAGACTGCAAAATATTCGGCTAGGCATGAGACTTTTTAGAGGTTTTTAAGGTTGTTGAAACCGAAAATGAGGGTCGTTTCTTACGGAAATAAGGCGTTCGGAAGATACAAGTTCCAATATACAGGGTGAATCTTGATCATCTCGAATATCTCTCTTGTTTTTGATAATATGAAAAAATGTTAAAGGAAAATATTATTTGGTTCGAAGAGGCAAATGTTATGATAAGCAGAAAATGTTTCTCAGGGGCATGTTTTTATTATTATGGTGTAATAGCTGAGGTCAAGACCTATCCAATGATCTATAATAGCCAAATGGACCAATAAATGGTCCAATTTTAATGAAGTTATACTGTTCTAAAGAGTGTCCGAATATTAGTGAGAGTAACTGTATATTCTTATTCATTTTCGTGAAAAATGACTCTCATTTTCGGCATTAGCGACCTTAAATACCCCTGAAAAGACATTCAGATAGAAAATGTTGTAGTCCGGATACTATACTATATCCAAAAATAAGTCGAAAATGTAAAGTTTTTGCACACGAGGCTTCCTTTTCGAGAAAAACGACTTTGAAAATCTATCCGGTATACGTGTACTAAATGTAAGCTTTGATTTGACGGATGTCTTTGCTCGCATTTGCATTTATGTATAAATGTTACATCTAACATGACCACCGCTATTATTTTCGTTATTAGTGGACCAATCAAAATTTTTTTTGTCACAGACTGTTCCACGCTTCAGACAAAATGCATATTACTCAGGACCTTCCCCCCTACAACATATCCTAAACTGAACAAAATCGGAGTTTAAGGGTCCGCTTTGTGCATAATTACCGATACTAAATATAAGGCTGATATCACTGTTATCGTAACTTCGGTCATTGTAATTTCGTTCGCCCAGGGATTGTTTTATATAGTGGTACCTCGGTATACGTCCTTAATCCGTTCCAGATCCTTGGACATATACCAAACGAATTTTACGCATAAGAAATAAAGAGAAAATGATTAATCTGTTCCCATGAAAAAAAATCCTATTGTTATTGACATATTATACATTGATGGGGTTGTAAAAAAGAATTTAAACACTGCTTAATACTAAAATACATAAATGTAAAAGCAATTAGATGAAATAAATGAAAATTTAACAAACTTTAATTTTCTCTTTCATGTCTCTTTGCCCTACTTTGACCAACGCGCCTGCAATGTCAAAAAAAGTTTCCAAAAGATCAGCACCACAGTTCACGTCACACCATAGTTCACACTTACACACTCATACATTGAAACACTCATACAATCTTAATTTGGCGTGTGAAAGATGCGATACCCTGAAATCAATAAAGTTTAAGAATCGCGTCGAAACACAGGACGTACATACATATGTACATATATCAAGTTGGACTTATTCCAAAGCGGACGTATACCGGGGTACCACTGTATTTTATTTCCGCGGATCCGAAGGATCACAGTAGTGTGATAATTTCTGCGGCATGTCCAAACTCGGTATGCGTTGGAGTTGACATATTTCAAGCTTGCTACAATTCCTAAGCAAGTAGCTTTTTGATCGGTTTACCCGTTATGCATATTAGTTGCCTGCCGTCGCGATGTGTTTAATTAAGAAAAAATAAGCGGCAGTCGCATGCTTACGCACACGCTGTCACGGACGCATACGTGTAGGCAAAATTCTATGGTATGTATAGTAGCAATTTTTTTTTTACAGATTACCTCGGAAATTAAGGCTAAGCGGCGGTACGCACACGCTGTCACGGACGCATACGTGTAGGCAAAATTCTATGGTATGTATAGTAGCAATTGTTTTTTTACAGATTACCTCGGAAATTAAGGCTAAGCGGCGGATATACAGGGTGTTTCAGAAAATGTGGGCATAACTTCGGGGATAGATTCAGTACGCTAAAATAAGAAAAAAAGTTCATATGAACATATGTCCGATATGACCTTGTTTCCGAATTATTTCGGAATTAAATATCAAAGAATTTATTCGAGATTTTGCTAATATGAAAGCGAGGAAAATTTTATTGAAGAATTATAAGAGTAATAAATGCATTTAAATATTTCTATGTTTTGTTTATTTATATTATACCTATTTTTAATTATAGTTGTAACAGCCATCAACGAGGACGACGACAAAATTTTCCTTCCCGCTCTCCATCCTTGTCGTCGATTGAATAATCGCGAAGCGATAGAACCTTCCAGAACAATCTAGTTCGCGATCCACGGGCAGCAATAGATTTGCATGGAAACAAAGTCATATCGGGTATATGTTTATATGAACCTTTTTTCTTAGTTTACCGTACTGAATCTATCCCTGAAGTTATGCCCACATGTTTTGAAACACCCTGTAAATACAGTTAACCCTCCTGTAACATGGTTAATTCGTTCCGTGTTGTATCGAAGACGTGTTAAGTGAAACTATGAACTAATAGAAATTAGAGGAATGCGTTTCGTCTTATGTATGTAAGTATATATGTATATATGTATACAGTAAAGATTCTATAAGAATTCTTTCGGATCTGCCTCATGGCTGCATGGCTATCCCCACCACAAGGGGGGACCACCCTTGAACCAGGCAAGCGACTAATGTGACACGATCACGGCATCTCTTTATCGCATTCGGTGGCGGCATGTCCGTGAGACTACTAACAAAACTACAAAAGTTTGTTATTTTCAATTTTTCGTTAATAAAAATGTCATCAAAATATTGGTGAGATTTTCCTGATTAAAATGATACCACACACGATACTGTTACAAAACTTGGTTATGTAGATTGGGCTTGTGAATCTTCCTTTGCCCGCTACGTTTTTCTACGTTCATTTCACTGTTTACATCTACAGAATGTAGCACCTTTCTTGTAAAGGTTTCACAGCTGTGCCGAAAATGAACCGTTAAGCAGTACTAGAACTGAACCTACTTATCCGGTTATTCTCGAATGGGCCACTCTTGTACAGAATAACGGTTCGTAAGCGGCATTGCCTTTGATCCGTCATGGAATAGGAAGAAACGAATTTTGACCTTAGGTTTCGTATTGTATTGACTTAGGTTTCATATTTTTATTATAACTTTTTTATAAAGCATTTGCGGACATGTTGCGGAAATGTTTATATAACATTTTTTTCTTATTTTTACTCATAGAATATACTGGTGTAGTTTGATCGTTTAATCCGGGGACACCCTGTATATACAGTAAAGATTGGTTAAGAGTTTGAAATTCGCGACCGCTGTGAAACGGCTACGGAATAGGTACAGTAAAAGTTCTATAAGAGTTCTTTCGGATCTACGCCATGACTGTTCATGGTCTATCCCCACCACAAGGGGGGACCACCCTTGATCCAGGCAAGCGAGTAATGTGACACGGCCGCGGCATCTCTTTATCGCATTCGGCGTCGGCATGTCCGTGAGACAGCCTAACAAAACTACAAATGTTTGTTATTTTCAATTTTTCGTTAATAAAAATTTCATCAAAATATTGGTGAGATTTTCCTGATTAAAATGATACCAAACACGATATTGTTACAAAACTTGGTTGTGTCGATTGGGCTTGTGAATCTTCCTTTGCTCGCTATGTCCATTTCACTGTTTACATCACAGAATGTAACACCATTTCTTATTAAGTAACTAAATATACACCGAATTATACCGTGTTTGGTCTCATTTTAATCAGAAAAAAAAAATGGATACGTTAGTGAAATTTTTATCAGCAAAATACAAAAAATAAAAAAGTTTTTCTTTTGCATTAGTGTCTCACCGATATGTGGTAGGTGTTTGATAAAGACTTCCAAAGTTGGG